GATCCGCGTTCCAAACCCAGACATTCTACGAAAAATGAAAAACAGCCCAGTATAACGCATAATAGAACATGAACCTCAAAATATCCAGAGCCTCTCTGCGTCACATGTAGACCAAGGAATGCTGATCCGCAGGCAGTCAGCGACGTTGACGTTGTTGGGCAATGAGAGAGATCGATGTTGGTTCCCTTGGCCCCTCCAAGGCGAATGTGAACGTCCCACAAGCCCGCCGCACCGTTGGAGGACTGAGCAATATTCCACTGAATACCTATGGCCCCAGCGGATCCACCGACAGTTGAGACAACAATGTCGCTGATTTCTACAGTTCCCACATCTCCGGAGTTTCCGACCTAAATAGTATGATGCCATGAGTTCCGGATTTCGAAGTGATACATGACTGACTTGGAGAATAGGCTTTGGATTGGCAGGATCACTGAACGCAGCTCCGCTTCCAAGGATGACCGAGAACATCTCCCCAACAATGATTGTTCCGGGCGGAATGTGGATGGTGTCGGTTACTTTGTAGATACCATGATCGAAATCTGGGAGAGCCATAAGTACGACACTTGCAGGATACCAATACGATGACGTACACAAGATTCCGCATCCGCTGTTCTGTAGCCACAGAGGTGTTAGTGCTTAATTATGTGACGGGAATATGGGCCTCGCTTGACTAATAAAAGACTTGATGTTCTGCGTATCGTCTATCACCCCATTTCCTGTAGCTTTGCCCACGGTTTTCACAGAGATGAACTCTAGAGCGTAAATTAATACAAGAATAGTTCTTTCAGATAGCGGTGACTCACGGGAAGAAGTATATAGGTTATATTGGGGCCGCGACTTGGCGAAAACTGCTCCAGCGCTTAAAAGGGCGGTTGGCTTTGTGGGAGCCGTAGTGTATGTCCCACGCGTGTATGTTTTGGAGCCTGATGGATAGATAATAAATAAAATATGCAGACCATTCATTGCACACCTGTGCCCTTGTACACATTTCCTTGAAACCATTGGCGGATCGTTGAGGAGCTAGCCGCAAGGATCACGCCAGCAGAGTCCCTAATGTTTGAACCTGTGATTCCAGAGAATGCGACATTGTCTAGGATAAGTGAGCCAGCCAATGAGGATGCTTGACTCGTTGACATCTAAAGCAACTCCAGGCCTGGACTTTATGGTTCAAAAGATGAAAGCCTACCCTCACGCCAATCCCAGTGTTTGAGATAGATGAATCAAGTATTAAGACAGAGCCGGCAGACTAGAGGAACAATCAACGCTGCGAGGGGAGGGATAAGGAGACGGATACACGTGCCTGAGTCCCAAGTGTCAACCCTCCTGTTGCAAGATCGAATCCAACCTGACAGTTTCTAATGCAACGGTGAGTATTTGCAGCCATGTAACCACAAAATGCGGACTGAATGGTGATTCCCTGCCATGTGAACCCCCTTAAATTCGGGTGAATAAGAGCCCCAGATACGAGCCAGAAGGCCAGAAAGACATACCAGTTCCAGAGTTGATAGATTGCAGAGACAGCGTTGGTTATCTTCACATTTCGAATCGTAAACTGCTGATTAGATATCCACATCCCGAATGCGCCACTGAAGCCCATGAGTATTCAGTATGTATACAATTCAGTACGCACCCGTCAAAAGTCAAGTCCGACATGAAACCCCCAGAGCCATTCTCGGCGAAGATCCTATCCATGTGAATTAGTCATGTTCACGCCGATCGGAATGTGTACCCTTGATGTTTGGTTCCAGCCGCTTTGTTCATCTTGAAATCAACATTGATGATGGACGTTGCCTGGCCAACTTGCCAATGAATTCCGGTACCGAAGGACGTCGCAGGCATCAGAGTTGTGTCGATGACGAAGTTGCGAACGGAACGGAAGAAATTCTGGCTCAATTGTTATCGACGGGCTATTCGATATAAATATCGGGGTCTACGTACATTCTGATTTGTCCACCAATTCACGCCATTTCCATCTGGACCCACGACCCCGGGATAGTAAGGATCGGCGTCTGAATGAACATCAATCAAACAAATAAAGACTATCAAAACCATTTACGGACCAATGATGGCAATACCACTAAAGTTTGCCATTGCGCGGATAGTTGGCTTTGTGTTGTAGTCGCCAACGCTGAATCATGCATGGCCAGTGAGGAATATGGAGCCTGACGTAAGGAAAACAACGCACAGCGAAGTGAAGTAGTAACTGTTGACATATTTTTCAGGCTAGGAGAACAGCGAAGGGACAGCCACGTACGGAATAATGGGTCCGCTGACCATATACTAAGCAAGGATTAAGTACCAGGTCACTGTACGGGTCGAAAATTGTACTGTGCCATGTGGAAAGTATATCAAACCGGGCGCAATCTGGCCGTTAAGATGTTAGTCGATTTCAAGTGTGTTTAAACCACTCATACGGTCGAGGAGTTGCATCCCATGCCACAGCGATTGAAATCTGGAGGCTACTTCAGGATGTGCAGAGGAAACGAGTGATTGAATATACAAGCAATTGTTTTGTTAATCGCAATTGTATCGTCTGAAGCATGATTCAATTGGGAGATCCGTTATCATGGGTCTCATACCCGTTGATCCGTCGCCTCTGGCCTATATAACCAAGTTAGAAATGTGACGGATCTAACATAAAGAAGCCGTACTCCACCGAATGTTTTCACGTTCAACCATGTCGAGTTAAATCCAGCGTTTGTGTTGAATGGATTCTTTCCATTCTTGTGAAGATTTGCATCTTCCATCCAGAACACCGCTGGGAGAGCGAGGAAAATTGAGTCATGCACTCGGTAGTTTGGGGGGGGATGGCATGATACGTACAACTGGAAGATCCCTGAGGGTTCACGGCTGGGGAGCATGCCGCGTTCACAGATTTAATTCCAGAGAGTACCAGAGCTGCAGCGACCCAGATATTATGCAGCAGCATACCGAGAGAGTCAGGAGCAGTCGAACAATTAGATTTGGATTTTGACACTCACTATTTATTGAGTCGCTTTCTCGTTCCTCATGTGTTGATGCCCACGGGATGTCGGAAGGCGGGTACAGCATAGTACATCCGGGATGATATCTTTGAGTATCAGGATAATATATTACCCTACTAGTGGTTTCCTTCTTGATGTGTCGTGTTTAAATTTCTATTGCCTCGACGTTACCACAGCGTCTATGGGCAATCCATCTGCCGATCCCCACGGGGTGTCAGAGGTCAGGTACATCAAGATACATCCGGGATAATATATTTCATGGCGCAACGCTAGTTTAAAACTTCCGGCCTGCACTATTTTTGAGCCGCTCCTGTCCCGTGGTGGTGGTTTTTTCGATTTCTAATTCCTTGACAGTGTTTAGGCCGGACCAGGTGAGATGGGCGATGGAATTCTGGGAATGCATCCGCATAAAAAGTGCCTAGCTAACTAGACCCGGAAGATCAACAGCTGATTTCGGTTAAGCCACACCACTTAGGCAAGCGGAGAGCGGCGCTCTTTAATCTACGGCCAGAAGACCTAACTAGTGTATGCCGGTTCCCCACTGCAGGAGGAGGGGAGCTTGACTTATCTGACTCGGCCTTGGTTGAACCACCAATTACTGGATGTTCTTGTGGAAAACACTTGCATCAAACGGTTTCCATGAGACAGTTGACTTATCCATTCCATCGACGGATCCAGTTGATCAATTGGGGTCGCCAACAGGACCATCACGCCACAAGTGGCAAAATTTGTTGCAGATGTGATGACGGTTTTCGACGCACATCCCCGCTACGTGCCCGCGATTCTACGCGGCCGCCTGCGACACTGCAAATGGCACTGATCGGTCTCTAGTAATCACACTCACTCACGGAGCCCGTGAGACGACCCCGGCATCGTGCAACCCACTCGTAACATCTCGCAGATCGCATTATTCGCCTTGAGTTGTATGGGTGTGGGTACGGGAAGGAGTCATCACAGCGGGAAAGTAGTTGAGTGTCCGTTAGCATACATTCGACGCCGTGTATATAGTTTCGGGCCCCGCTTGTTCCTCATTGGGACCGTGGCGGTTAAAACCCATCATCCTCCTCCGGGGAGCCTAGATACCGGTTCGGACAAGGTTTTGACACTCTGGCGTCAAAGGCTCGTTCGGTTTTAGTGTCAAGATATAGGGTCCAAATCATCCGTTTTGGGGCATAAATGGCCGATATCAATTGTTTCCCGCCAGGAATCACCCAGAAGCGCACGCTGAGGAATTTTTCGGCATTTTCATAGCCGTGGGAACCTGAAATTGGCCATTTTTGAACGCCCAGGTCCCTGTCCGGAACGAACTCCGCATTTTGGTACTTATTTAGCCTCCTTGGTTATTATTAGGGGTCCTTCGCCAACTCCCCCAATTCTGACTGTGAACTGCGACAGGCACATTCAGGATCTGTCGGTGTAACTTCGGAGATACCAGTTTAATTCATGATTAGGCCGCAGGCGCTCCGTGAGCGAGAACAGCGCTCTGAGATGCTAAGAAATGATCAAAGGCGTAATAGTGGGCCTATCTAGGCGGCAGCTAATCTTACGACAGAAATAAACTCAGCAGGTACAATACGTACGTGAAGGTGACACTCTCTACATGGGACGGGAAGACCTGATCTCGAAATCTTCCTCCACCACTCTTCCTTCCCTCTCCATCCAAACCAAATGTCTCTTGTCCCCGAGAAAAACGACTGTGCCCGTCATCGGCACACGCTTCACCGAGCTGCTCAAGACCATCGAACAGTCTGCCGCCGCTTTGGATATTGCCGTCGAGACACAACACAGTTCCACATCCCTGACCCTCGTTTCGAATTCTGATGGCATTCACTACTCCCCTGCCCAGCATGACTCATACGGCACCCCTGAATCGAACAAGGATCACCTGCAGAAGTGGTTTGACTGAGTAAATATTACAAGTGTGGTAACCATTACACCACTGGGTCCTCACCTGCTCCAAATCAACGTGAATCAGTGGCTTCTTACGAGAAGAAAATAAAGTAATAAAAATTGAGATGACCCAGCCCTGAGTTGAACAGGGATTTCCTGTAGAAGATACTCCTTCATCCAATAAATGCTACAAATGTGATAACCACTACACCACTGGGTCTTTTTGCCATCTTCATTTGAACTTGAACCTGAATCGGAATTTGACATGAACTTCAGGGAAGATAACAAAAATTGCAGTGGCCCAGCCCTGAATTGAACAGAGAACTACTGCTTATTTGTTTTCCTCGCTTCCGCAATATGAGCAAGTGTGTCACCGTTACACCACTGAGTCCTTACTACATAGTGCAAATTAACGAATTAGACTTTTCAGGCGGAAGAAAATAAAAATAACATATGACCCAGCCCCGAGTCGAACAGGGATCTCTTGCAGAAGACTACGTCCCTGCTCCATAAATAGTACAAGTGTAGTAACCGTTATACTACTGGGTCCTTACATATCTCTATTCAAGGTTATTCAAGTGTGAATCGGAATCGGACATAAAGATTAGGAAAACCGACAAAAAAGCTTATCAACCCAGCCCAAATTTGAAGAGAGATCTCCCACTTGCACACGCATTTACTCTCGTAAATATGAGTAGGCATGCTAACCGTTGCACCACTGGATCGCTTACTTTTCCACTTGAGACTGGAATTATTGTCGAGTACTGGTGAGATGTCGAGCAAGACACGCTGCTGCTGTGGATCGAACAGAAGTAATTCAACCAAACGATTCATAATTATTTTACAGTCAGAAAGAACTGTTAAACGAATTTCGCGCACCCGATCCTCATCGTCTCCATTGACCTACTCATACGCACATATACTCAAGATTTATCTAGTTCTTTCACACACTCCACTCCGATCTACCCGTCCCACGCACCATCTAAACACTCAGCTCCACCCTCCCGCTCGCCTTAATCGCGTCCTGGATCGCCTCGTCCTTGAGCGCGGGTTCGACCCACTCCTTCAGGAACGCGTCCACCTGCTCCGGCGCGCGCCCAATGAAGCTCTCAGGTCGCAGCAGCTCCGCCAGCTCGCCCTTAATGGGGTCAAAGTACGTGTCCGCGCGGATGCGCGCGATCAGGTCGTTCTCGAGCCCCAGGTGCTTCACCTGGTGCGCCGCCTCGTGCGAGAGGACCTGCGCTGCGTCGTGAGCCCGTTAATACGCTGAATTAGATATTCAATTACCCGGATCTTCTCGTGCGCCTCCTGCCGGTCGCCGCCCTTCTTCACGAGCGCCATGATAACGTTCTCCGTCGCCATGAACGGCAGCTCCTGCGCGATACGCCGCTCGATCACCTTGGGGTACACCACGAGTCCCTCGGATATATTTTGCAGCGTCGACAGCACAATGTCCGCCGTAAGGAAGGCCTCCGGGAGGGTGATGCGCCGGTTCGCGCTATTTAAATATGTTAGGTGTGAATATCCATGCATGACGCATGAAGATATGATTGATATATTAATTAGTACGCACCTGTCGTCCAGCGTGCGCTCAAACCACTGCGTGCCGGCCGTCATGAGTGCATTCTGGTGCAAGACCATCAAGTGCCGCGCGAGGCTGCAGACGCGCTCAGAGCGCATGGGGTTGCGCTTGTACGCCATCGCCGAGGAGCCGATTTGCGTCGCCTCGAACGGCTCCTCAATTTCCTGGCCGCGTCGCGTGAGCTGGGTGCGCCAACACCAAATAATAATAAAAAACAGAGAAAAAAACCTTGAGGTTCGCGAGCAGCCTGATGTCCGTCGCGAGCTTGTGCGCGGTGGCTCCGAGTGACGCGAGGGGTGCGAGTACGTCGACGTCGATCTTGCGCGAGTAGGTCTGCGACGTGACGGGGTATGCGTATTCGAAGCCCGAGAGCTGCGTGACATGCGCGTCGAGGGCCGTCACCTGCGCGATGATATGGTTAAAGATATGATAAGACCGCCGACTGGCTGAGTGGCTACCTTGTCGTGGTCTCCGTCGAAGAGCGCCAGGAAGCTCGCCTGGGTGCCCGTGGTGCCTTTGACGCCGCGAAACCCCAGGTCGTCGCGCGCGCGCCGGATGTTGCGCAGGTCCCACAGCAGCTCCTATAAATCGTCAGCGGGGAACCAAGCGCGCTAAATAGAAGGCACCTGGATCCACAGCGTGGCGCGCTTGCCCACGGTCGTGAGCTGCGCGGGCTGGAAATGGGTGAATCCCAGTGTGGGGAGGGCGCGGTATTGCGCGGCGAACGCGGACAGGCGCGAGATGAGGATGGAGAGCGAGCGGATGAGATAGTCCAGGCCCGTGCGCAGGAATATCAAGTCCGCGTTGCTGCAAAGAACGATTAATTAAAAATCAGAGGATAAATTAAAACTGACTCGGTAACATAGCAGGACGTCGCGCCCAAGCTGAATGTATTAGCCGTGTGGAGGTACCAGAGGGTGTATATAGCTCACTGGATAATCCCCGCCGCTGCGGGCGCGACGGTCCCAAAGGTATGCACATGCGCCATGACGTCGTGCCGCCGCTTCTTCTCCTCCTCCGCCGCGACAGCAAACTGCTCCGGGGTAAGGTGCTAATGACACAATCGGTCAATTCGCGCGTTTTCGAGGGAATGGCGCGCTCACGAGGTTGTCCTGCATCTGCGCAATCGCGTCGTCCGGGATGGGCAGCCCCAGTTCTTTTTCGGCGATGGCGAGGTTGAGCCAGAGCGTGCGCCAGGTAAAGAAGCGGTTCTACAGAATGAAGTACACGGTTAGAACTACAGGAAAGAAGCGCTCTTGGAAGTGCGAACGGCGGGAGAGAAGAGGTGCGCCATTTCCTTGCTCGCGTAACGGCTGTGGATCGGGTAAGATCTAGCTAATGGATGGCGGAGAGAAACAGGGACCTGGATAGGGGCGTCTGGTATGTTTCAAAGGCCTCCATTGCGTGCTGCGTCTGTTCAAGTCTTCCGTCGGGTGAGCACCGTCAAGTTGGCCGCAATTGTCAAGAATGAAAATGATGGCGGATCACAAGGACCGGCCAAATAGACGCAATCCAGCCTCTTCCGTCTCACTCCCACCAAGACCTCTTTGCAGACCAGGTCAAGCTGGCGGCCTCGGTATCTGCCCCCAATCACCGATGCGCGACGTCTCAATCTCCCTCTGGGTTTCTCTCGGTCCTGCTAAGTTCTGCACCAGTTGCGCTCTCAGCATCTGCATATTTTCGCGTCATGACGTATTGCTTCAAATGGTTTTACAGAGAGGACGGGCTGGTACATTATTCTGTGAGTATCTCCAATTCGGCGAACGGGGAAAAAAATCCTCTGGTAAGGTAAGATATGTATACTTCGTTGCACTCATATATGACCCACACGTCGTATTCCGCTCCTCTTTGGCTTTCGTGTGTACGTTCGGGCATTTTCCCGATCAGCGCAAAGTCCTGTCTCTCTCAAAATATCCATTAGGTCGTCGCTTTCGTGGTATTTGTCATTCCTGACTTCTCATACGCGAAGCCGCGAACTCCCGCTATGCTCCTCGCCCTGCAATCGACACCTCCTTTCTCCGATTCCATCATTCTGGATCCTATTTGTGACAAATGTCGCCCAGGGACTACCGGTGTTCATTTCCCCACTAAGCATGCTCTACCATTGTCTTTCTTCTTCAGATGTGAGATCTCTGACTCAGCCCCAAGTCCGCAACAAGTCCAACATCGGGCTTATTGACGCTTTCGCCGTTAAACGGTCAGTTCGACAGCGGGAAGATACTTGCAATGGAATCCATACAGGCGCCTCCGTCCTCTGTCTGACGTTTCTGAGCTGGGTCTCCGACCGATTCGACCTACGCATCTCCATGCTCGTATCAACTTTGGGCTCCACCAAGTCGTTCGCCGTGTTTTTGCTCTGGGCATTTCCCTAGTCTCTCCTAGACTTTCCCGGGGCAACCCGCCGCCTCGCTTATATACGGAGTCCTCCCCCCAACTGGCTGGCGCTTCACCGCTGCAAAAGATCCCCGAACTTCCTCCCTTCCCCTGACACTCTTTCATGGCGGCGAGAATTTAAAACATTCTTGCTGCTCCCGCCCTGTTGCATTCGTTGGCGCTAACGGACTGAAGTCGGTGTCAATGGGATCGAAGGATAGGGTCCTCTTCTTTTGTTCGCAGGTCTATATTGCTCAAATCGATGGATTCGCAGTCACGGCTGGCATATTTTTGCCCCTCTTCATGCAAGCGGAGCAAGAAAACACATGAAGCTCTAGGGCTCGACGACCGTCTCGTTCAATCGGCGACCATACTCGACGAGGCCCAGTGGCATTGAACGTCCCCGAAACCGAAGCCATCGGAGCAGATCGGAGCAGCATCGGAGTAGATATCAAACCGTGGGAGAATTTTTACCGCTGACCGCCGATCATCAACACGATTGAATAACGGTGAGCTCGTCAATCAATGATGTGGTCTAGATCTACGGCGCGCCGGTCGTCGTCGCCGCCCTGATTCTTCTTCGCCACCACTGGCAACATATGTCTTTCTCGCGATTCCTCAAAAGACACAGGAAGACAAGCACCCACGACAACTCTGAAGCGCAGCACGCGCCGCAGAGTGGTTTTGGGAAGAGTCATGCCTCTCTTCCAGCGCCCTCTTCCACGCCCGACATCCGCGATTCGCTCACCATGCCGATGTTCATCGTGCCCGCCCCAAAGGGCGGCGTGCGGGACGACATCGAGGGGCGGGCCATGCCCACAGCCCGAAGCCTGCCCAGCAGAAACGGCGCCCTCCACGTTCCGTCCCCGGCTCCCTCTCGCGAACCCAGTCCCGTGTCCTTCGCCGACCCCGAAGACGAACTTGGAGGAATGTGGCGCGGAATAAATGGCGGGGGCGCGAACATGTCGAAGACGGAGAAGGTTTTGAACAAGGTGTCTGATGTTGCAAGTGCGACGATCTCTTGATTTGAATCCCGTTCAGCGTTATTAATGGACGCTCTTCAGGCGGTGCGGTAGATACGGCGGGCTCCGCAGATGGTGTCTTTGGCTTCGTCAAGACCATCGCCGCGAACGAAGAAGTAAGGGCAATAGGCAAGACGATTCTCGAAGGCGTCCCGGCGATCATGGGAGCGTTGGAGACATTGACAGAAGTCCATCCCTTTCTCAAAGGTTCGATTTTGTATCGCGGATTGGCAGCGTGTCTGAGCTCTTAATCTAGCCGCATACCTTCCTTTCAAGTTGATATACCACCAGTAAGCGCATCAGTGGGCCGTTTCATGAGTTCTGACCATTCGCGGATAAAGGGAAACCCAGCGGCGCGCGAATGACCAAAAGAGGAGCACCCTTTTCGAGAAAATCAAAGATGTTATGCTGGTTTTACTCGAGTACGACCGAACCTCATGTTTATTTCTTGAAACTAACCGACGGCGGCAAGATTGAAGGCATTCAAACCCGATGACACGCGCCTCACCCCCGAAGGCAAGCCTATTCTCAGTCGCCTTGCCGACATTTGCAAAGAGATGAAAAAGGATATT